GGCTTCGCTACCTGTGGGATTGGATAGCAGGTAGGTCTCCCATGTTTCGCACGCACGCATGTTGATGAGCGGATGCGGTCTGACTTGCCATAGATGCCGAGGACGCTGCCGAGGATGGCGGCATGAAACTTCACCCCTTAGACCTCAGCTACATGGGTGTGGCTACGATCTGGGGCAATGACCTAGGTACGTCACGAAAGAGATCTGGACGTGGCACGCAAACTAATGGTGAACAGGAAACAAGCCTTCCTCGAGGCTTCCCGAAGCATCGCCGATTCCTGAGGTTACGCTGTGGGAGAAGTGTATCGGCAGCATTTGCAAGAAACGGCGTCTGCCGAGATATCAAGGGGCTCACACAAAGAAGCCTTTCCATAGACAACTTTGTCTCGATATTTGCACGTGGGGAGACACGACGCGGCACGAGCAAGACGATAGCCCGCCAGTAGGGAACGGAGACTACCCGAGCCCTCTGCACACGATGGAAACGGCTCGGGCACTGTTCAGGGGCGAGATTGGCAAAGCGGTGCAGATCCTGAAAAAGGCGAGCGCGAACCACCCAGAGCTTCTCTTCGTTTCACTTGCCCTTCAGCTCATCGACAAGGGTGACAAGCGGCTCGCGAAAGAGCAGCTGGATTTTGACGTGGCGTTGGCATCAAAGACAGACCCCTATCTCAGAGCTATTTCGTCACTCATTGCGACGGGAGACTGGTCGGCGGTGGCGAACCAGAAGTCGCTGCCCCTCTCTGACCGAGCCTACGTGGCATTCCGAACCTTTGACGACACGCAGCTTACCAAGTGGCTCGGCGAGCAGGTATCGATCGCGACGGAGACGGGCGATATTGAAGGAATTGTCTTATTCGGCATCACGGACCGTATGGTTGACGTGTTTGCCAAGTACGTCGGCAAGTTCAACGATTTCCAGACGGCGACGCTCGTCATGTCGATCTGCGCGCCGCGCTACATCGACGATTACCGGTGCACGGCCTGGCGCAACGCCTACAGGGCGTATCTTCAGCGTCACAAGGCGTTCTTCCTGCGCACCAAATTTGAGGTGGAGAGCACGAAAAAGAGCAAGCGCGACGGCAGACCGACGATCAAGCCGCCATCGCGGCAGATTGCCCTCCGTTGCGTGTTCTGTGATGCCGAAACAACAGTGCCTTCACACAATGGTTCGGCACCGCCGGCTGGGGCGCCAGATACACGGAATCCGCTGATGGTCACGAGCATCAGCGCCGGCGTGAGCTGTCCGAATTGCGGTCGCCACCTGCCGCGCTGCGTCGTGTGTCTCGAGGTCGTGGGCATCCCCAGGTCGGATCGACCCGAGGCGGCTGCTGACATGGACACCCGCATGGCAGCCAAGTTTCCCACATTCTGCCTCAAGTGCGAGCATGTCTTGCATCTCGATCATGCGCGGCACTGGTTTGCGCGGCATGTCGAGTGTCCTGTGCCAGAATGTCGGTGCAAATGTAACTTTAGGGCCAATCCGGAACTCAACTATCACTGAGAGGTGTCTGATGCCAGGTGGTTTGAGCGGTCGTCGTAGTGGCGGGTTCAGTTGTAGCAATTCCATGATCCAGGCAACATGTCGTTTTGCATCCTGCTTCGCCCTCTGATGGCTCGCTCACCGTGTCTCACCGAGCGGACAGACAGCCTGGTGGGTCACTCTTCGCTGTGGTGTCGTGGAACCGTTGCGCGCGTTGAGTGCTGAGCGTTGAGCGTGACAGGGGGCACGCAGCTGCCCCACCTTGATGCGCCATTCGAACGTCAGTGACGGTCCAGTCAACGTTCGAGATCACGCTCACAACCTTCAACTAGCACGATAGCCTTTGAGATCTCCAACGACACGCGCTGCAATTCGATTGACCCTGGGGCAAAACGATGCTCGTGTATCCAAAAAGCATCCTCCTGACGTAGTCTTCCGCATTGACCAGTATCCCACGGCCTGTCGAGTCTGGACGCCACGGTCATCGTATCCAGGCAGCGGTCAGCGGGGACAATGGCTCTCTCCGGCCGTGCTCCGTGAGTCGTCGAGACCCTGGACTGGCGAGACTTGGTTGGCCATGCTGACTGCGTCTTAGAACGAGATGGATCGAGACGATCAAGCACACGCACAGCCTTGCCGATCTGCAGCGGGCCATCAGGTACAATGGGGTCTCGAGCCCTTGCCTTGCTGGTTATCGCTCGGTGTGCTGGAAGGTAAACAGCTTCGTGCCCTGTCGGCCATGTGAGAGCTTTCGCTGAACACATCACTAGGTTTTCTTGCTGTTCCAAACTGTGAACAAGGAAAGCTGGGTCCAGACGCTGTCTGAAACCCGAGAGTACTACAACGAGCAGCGTGACCATTTCCTCAAGTTCATCAAGCATCCAGAAGAATTGGCCAACGTAGCGGTAGATCCGCTGACAGATGACCCCGATGTGAGCCTAGCACACACGTCAGGCGACACTGGCACCAGATGCTCACATGTGCGCGCAGTCCCCATGGAACACACTACGCCAAGATGAGACCATCCGGGCAGAGATTGCCCAGGACGTCCAGCGTCTGCCCGAAGAACCATTCTACCACGAAGAGCTGACGCAGACCATGATTGTGGATGTTCTGTTCATGTATTGCAAGCTGCATCCCAACAATGGCGGCTACCGGCAGGGCATGCACGAGCTGCTAGCACCCATCGTGCTCGTTCTGCACCAAGACGCCCAGAACGTTCAGACCACGACAGACGAGGCATCGGCGGACGCTACCATGTGGAACGTCGTGAGCCCCGCGTCTATAGAGCACGACGCCTTTGCACTGTTCGACAAGATCATGAGGCGTGCACAGGCATTTTACGAAGTCAAGGACTCGATCACGAGGGCGGCGCTGACATCGGCATCTCGTGATCAGAGCGAAACGTCGGCGATTGTAGAGAAGAGTCGACATATCCACGAAGTGTGTCTTGCCAAGGTCGACCCTGAGCTTTCGAAGCATCTCAAAGACGTGGAAGTCTTGCCGCAGATTTTTCTCATGTAAGTACGAGCCAAGCGCGAGGGGTATCTTCCAGTTCTAACAACCGAAGTCGCTGGATACGGCTTTTGCTAGGCAGGGAGTTTCCCTTTGCTCAGCTGCTTGTGCTCTGGGATCATCTTTTTGCCATTGACCCGTCTCTAGATCTCATAGACCTTGTGTGTGTTGCCATGCTCCTTCGGATTCGATGGCAGTGTATGTGCCCCTGTCGACTCGACGAGAGCATCACTAACAGGCCCTTAGTGCTCAACGCAGATTACTCTGTCTGTCTGATGCTTCTCCTGAAGTATCCAGCTCCGGACAAACACCACCCCCCGCACACATTTGTGGATGATGCCATCTACTTGAGAGACCATCTCGACACCTCGGGGGGAGCAACGCTGGTCATGAAATACACTGGCAAATTTCCGTCGCCATCGTCGTCGTCGTCGTCGTCAGGCGCGCGGCCTCGAACACCCACACAGAAGCCACTGCCCTCGTCTCCGCACATTCGCGCCAGCCGCTCGCCGCTGGCTTCGCCCGGGCGCTTCATCCAACAACAGGGTGGCGTCGAGGCCATCTTTCAGGGCGCAGCGAAGAACGTGCTCGAACGTGGCGAGAGGCTCGGCATTAACCAGGCCGTGCGGGACGCCATGGGGGAGATCAAACGAAATGTGCAAGGCTTTAACGAGGCTCGTCAGCTGCCGAGGACGGCGAGACAGACTCTTGTCGATGATTCGGCGACGAGGGCCATGTCTGCCATGAGGGAGCGGAACCGTCTCTTGGCGAATATGTTGGAAGAGTCGATCGCTAGCCTCAAGGTGGCGACATCGCAGATGGCGGATGATGAGAAGACGCGCGAGCTCGTGGAGACGGCAGCAGCCAAGGTGCAATTTGTCAAAGTCCACTTGGAGGACTCGACGATTGACGTGCCTGATCTGGACCTGCCGGCGAGCG